TGTTTTACAAAAGCCTTTATGTCTGATCCCCTACCTCCTCTATTAAGTAAACTAACGTAACGAAACCTCTATAAGTCTTATAGTTTAAGACCTAGCGTTACACTTTAAGCACTACTTCTACAAGGTACTAGCTTATACATAAGCAACATGGCTAGAAACGATTTAGCATCTAACGTGGGGTTAAAGGGCAAGGCAGCTGTTAAGCCTATCCCGTTACCTACTACTACACCTACACCTAAGGGACTACACCCCTTAGACAAACTTAAGATTGCATTCCTAGACACCTTTAATGGGGACTATAAGAAGCTTAAGAGCTTCCTCATCTAGACGGAACTCTAGATGGCCTTTAATGCTAAGCACTTTGCCTTTAAAGTATAGTAAGTCCTATAGGCAGTGGCCCTCCTAAGGGGCTCTACCTCTAACTAGATTGCTAATTACCTAACGGACTACATAAGCTACTAAGTAGCTAACGGACAAGTTACTACAACGGCTAACTAAGGCACTAAGGATATCTTTATTACTTAGGCTAGCTTCGTTAAGCAACTTAAGGTGAACTTTAGGGACGTTAACGAAAGAAGAAACGTAGTGCGAGCCCTTAAGGCCCTTAAGTAGAGGGGGTTAGCAGTTACATATACTACTAAGTTCTAGTAGCATGCCTCCCTTACTAGTTAGGGAGACGAGGCTATATGCAACTAATACTACAAGGGGCTAAAGGATCATGTAAAGGACAAAATCTCCTAGTTAGACAAACTAGATGACCTTAAAGAATTAATTAAGATGGCCTAGAAGATCAACAATTGTTACTACGAACGCTAACTCAAAAGGAAGGGAGGAACAACTAGCTACTAATGGACCTAAAAGAGGAGAACTTAGAAGAGTCATTAGCCTTAGCCTATAGAGCTTAACGCTACGTTTAAGCCTAGTAGGAGACCCTATAACCTAAACAAAGAGCAATAGCTTAAGGAGCAGTTGTGTTTTAATTATAACAAGCTAGGCTACATAGCCTAAGATTACAAGCAACCTAAGAAAGGGAACGGAGGACATAAGAAGTTTAGGAGACAACTTAACGCTACTTAGAAGGGACAGTTAAATGCTACGTTTATAAATAAACCTAACTAGGGAATTACTAGCGTTAGCACCCTAGAAGGAGAGAGCTTAGGCAACGAAGATCTTAACAACTTCGACACATTACTTAAGAAGGAGAACGAACTCCTAAATAGGGGATTAACAGAATCCTAGAAACTCTAGCTAAAGGAGTTTAAAGAAGATGCAAAGGAGATTGCATTTAAGGAGAATCTACTAAGAGTAGTTAACGTCTATAGACAGGCCATGCTCTAAAAGGGAACTCTAAGAGCAATTCCTATACTACTGCCCCTAACTAGCTAGTAAGGTACCTAACAAGACTAGGAAGTTGCAATCTATATAATAAGGTGCTACCCTAGGTACCCGTTTAGACGAGAACCTAGGGGAGCAAATCACACCTTAAGTAAGGCTATAATGTAGTTAAAATATAAGCTTGTAGAATACAACGTGCAAGACGAATAGTAGGAGAACACTTAGGGACCTAAACCCTAGGAACTATAAGTAGACTAAGCTACTATAGACTATAAACCTACTAATAGAGACGTAGAAAGGTTACGTATAACTAAGGAGAAATCTAAGCTCATAGGCAAGACAAAGGAGGAATAGGAATTAACAAAGTTAGATGCATTAAGGATTAATTACCCCTAGTACCCATATATATTCTAAGAACACTATAAGTACGATGACTACGAGAGTTACCTACGGAAAAAGACCTAGTATTAACTATTTCTAAAAATTGCACCTTAGGTCTACTTTACGGATATAGACTAAATTCATGCCCTTAGACGAAGTTAGTCTAAAGGAGAACTACCGTTAAAGAAACAATAATAGGTATATAAGAAATACCTACACCTACTAGATGAAGTAGAAGGATAGGGAGGACAATCTTCCTAAGGACTACCTATAGAGGATGATGAACATTACTATTACTCCTTAGACGAGTTAAAAAACTAGGAGTCCTTAACGGTAGGCTACTAGCAAGTAATAAAGAGAGGCTTAGTACAAAGTAGCTATGTGCCATAAGAGGCAGTATACAGCTATATGTAGTTGCTAAGATATAATAGCAACACCTTCGAGCTATGATTAACTTAGGAGCAACAGGCAACTTTATAACAAAGAAAGTAGTAGACACTTAAGGTTTTAAGACGTAATTGAAAACCGATCCTTACCTGTTAATGGTAGTAGATAGAGAGCCCATCTTAACTAATAAAGGGATGGTAACCTATAAGACAGCCCCATTAGAAATGGTCATGCTACGTAGACATAAGGAAACGATCTAATTTAATATCGTATACATGGACAACTATGCATGTATCCTTAGTATGCTATGGCTTAAGAAACACAACCCCTAGATTAACTAGTAGAACAAGAAAGTTGTAATGAGCTAGTGTGCGTGTAAATAACGAACGGATACGCTATAATAGGAGAAACCCTCCTAGGGCTAACGTAAGGTATATGCGACCTCTATAGAGCCTAGTGACCTAGCCTAGGCACCCTTACTAACGAATATACTAGTAGAGTATAAGGAATACAAGCAGCTATTCTAGGAAGGCCCTAAGAACGAGGCGCTTCCTAAGTACTAACCATAGGATCATGTAATACCCTTAGAAGAAGGAAAGAGTCTACCGTTTAGACTAATATACTAGATGTTAGTAGATGAGTTGAAACTACTAAAAGAATATATTAACGATAACCTTAAGAAAGGATTTATTAGACCGTCTAAATCTCCTATAGGAAGCCTAATGTTATAGGTTCCTAAGAAGGATGGAAGCAAACGACTATACGTAGACTATTAAGCATTAAACAACATAACGATAAAGGATTAATACACCTTACTGTTAATTAATGAGTTACACAACAGATTCTAAGGAGCTAAGATCTTTACTAAGCTAGATCTACATAGCGCGTATAACCTAATCTAGATAGCTAACAGCAAGGAGTAGAAGATAGCATTCTACACCTACTATAGCCTATTTAAATATTAAGTCATGTCCTTTAGGTTAACTAACGCCCCTACATCTATGTAACGCTTAATGAATGACGCTTTACATAAATATCTAGACATATTCACCATCGTTTACTTAGACAATATACTAGTATACTTAGCAAACAAGGACAAACATGCTTAGTATGTTAAGCTCATCCTCTAGAAGCTAAAGGAATACAACCTACTATTAAAGCTAGAGAAATGTAAGTTCTATAAAAACCAAGTTAAATTCTTAGGCTACATTATTAGAACGCACAGCATTAAGATAGACTAAGCAAAGGTTATAGCAGTGTTAGAATGGCTAATACTAACTATGGTTAAGGAAGTACAAGCCTTCTTAGGCTTTGCTAACTTCTACCGTTAGTTCATTATAGGATATTCTAAAGTAGCTCAACTACTTATAGAGCTTACTAGGAAGGATCTCGTGTTTAAATGGATAGACAAAGTAGAGACTACCTTCTAGGAACTTAAGACAAAGTTCATAGAGGCACCTATCCTTACAACATTTAACCCTATAAAGAAGATTGTCCTTAAGACAGACGCTTCTAACTTCATAATTAGAGCATGTCTAAATCAGCTAGGCGAGAACGGTAAGTTCA